AGACTTCAATTATCAAGTCAATTGGCATTGGTATGGTCAGGTTCCCGGTGATTCCGAAGTTGCAGAGATGGCTATCAAACTATTCCAACGCCTCTCTCGAAGCAGATACACAATTTTGATAAGGTTAAAACCCTCGCACAAGTCCCCATTAAGATCTCTAAAGCGTATTTTTCTCCTGATGAGCTCAATTTACTTTCTGCTATTTGTGACACAACTGGAAATCCCTATTTTAAGAAATGATGAGTGTGTTCTTTTCGTCAATTCTTTCGCACTGATTTTGTCTGTGATTTCTGTAACGTGTTCATCTGTCGCAAAAATTTTTTTTATGATATACAATGTGTTTTAATAAATTTGATTGGAAAAGAATTCAGAGTAAGGGCGAGATGAGATAAGCTTCACAAGGTAAAAATGCTGACGAAAAAAACTAGCTTTTAAAGGGGTGGGAGTCTTCTTTATGGCCACATCTCGGTAAAAACTTTTTAAGCCAAACCCTGCCGAATTGTCGAATTTTACATTGTTTCCAAGCTCTAAATCTTTTTTTGAACGAAGTGGGATGATTGCCAAAATTTGCCTGCAACGGCACGAGCATTTACCTGTACTGAGACGTGACACGACAAGAAGAGTGCGGGCCATGAGATGTTCATCCGCTCGCAGAAGTGCACCACATCTTGTCCAAAAAAGACATACCAAACTCCACGGGTCCACGGCCTGTCAGCCCTGAACAAAGAATTATAATTAAGAGCACCACATCTTTCATCTTTCTAGAATTGGCAATTGGCATCTTTCTAGAATATTGGCATATCAATTGGAATTTATGGTATTAAAGAACATAGCAATAGCCTTTCTAGACTTCTCTTCTTCAAAGCCGAGCGCCCGGCTATTAAGCGTTTACGGTTTCGATGAGGAGTGCAATCGTCGCTACAAGAGCCAGCGTTTGTGGCAATTTTTCCAAGACAAGTTCAACTTTTCTTTAAAAGTTAGGTGGATAGCCAAATTTTCATATTAAACAAATACAACAATCACTATCTGTTTCGTTTATTGTGATTAGTAGTATATAAGTACCATTTCTAGGGCAGCCCATTGCCCCAATTTTCAGGTCTCGTTGTTTAGCTTCTTTTTCCGATTTATTTTCATTATAAAAACACCCAAAACGCTATGATTGGATGGGATTTTTAATGGGGGTTTAGGACAAATCAAAAACAAAATTTTATTCAGGAGAGAAATTACATGGAATGGTATCACAAATTGCCTTAAGAACATGCTGTTGATCAGTTGTATAACCCCGGCCTGAGATCTCAAGTCCATTGCCCAAGGCAGATGATTGTGTACCGGCGGGGCATCGGAGAGAATCTTGTCAACTATGATTGCAACTCGCCGAGCAGTGGTTCGAGGCAAGTAAGAGCGAACTTCATCGCAGAATTTGGGATCATTTGCGAAAATCCATTTCCATCGTTCTTCCCGAGTACCCCGTCTGACAGAATCCGGCATTTGCTGTTTTCTAAAATTCAAGAAATTGAAAATTATATAGAATTTAAATCTAAAGGCCTTAAAAGTTAAACTATAACAACTCAAATGTCAAATCTTTTATAGCTTCTAGAAAGAAGAATGAGTTTAGTAGAACTTAGTTTATAATATTTGAAAAAGATCAAAGAAGTATTAGGCTGTCCCATAAAAAATTGCCGTTTTTTTTCATTTGATTCGTATTCAGCGACAAATTAACACTTTTCCTTCTCTTTTTTTATTATACTAATTTACAATTCTAGTTTTATGTGCTAAATTTCCTTTTTTAGGAATCAAAAACAAAAAAAGTTGTGAGCGATCACATGGCGCTGTCTCTTGAAGAAATCCATCAATAATGCATCAACGATATTTGAAGAGGATTTCCGCGGCCAAAGCAGCGAGAGAAATCAATTCTTTTATGGGCCAACAATCGTCAAGGAAAGGACTACACGATGGTGGTTTCAGAAGTTCCGAAAAGGTGACAACCGGCTCACCGAAAGCGAGGAAGCGGTCGTCCCAGAAAAGTGAATCGACAGACGTTGAGGCGCCGACTTCAGCAAAATCCCGAAGGAACGACTCAGATTTTGGCACAAAGCTATTGCTGAAGAATGACAGTATGACGTTGGCTCAAAAACCGGAAGAAAGTGGTTGAAACAGCGGCAAATTCCCTATCATTTGAAAAATTCGATTAAGGGCCAAAGAGCGCGGTCATGCCGTCAACTACTGAACGAATATCGATGCGGTCGGTTTCCTCTTTTCAATATTGTGACTCATGATCAATCGTGGATATTCTATGATTGTCGAGTGTTGAAACGACAATGGTTGAAGAAAGATCGATTGGGAAAAGTGGTGGAAAAACGAAATACTCATGGGAATAAGCTATTTCTGTGTGTCGATTGGTGTTCCTCTGGGATACTTTTTTTGGGAGGTGCTCCAGAAGGGTTAAACTTTTCACAGTGATGTTTATGGACGTCATATGCAACAAGTTGAGCAGAAAATTCTCCGATTGGTCTATCACAATGAATGGAATGGTTCCGTTTTTGTGCTTGAAGACAACGCCCATCCCCACAAATCGAGGAAATCGAAGGATTTTATGGAAAACAATTTGCACTGGAATGTACTTTCATATCCCGCTTATAGCCCGGATATTGCTTTATCTGATCACTATTTATTTTTGTCGCTAAAGAATTTTATTCGAGGCAAGCAATTCAACAACCAAGGTGACCTCGAGGACGAATTGGAGGGTTACTTTCTTTTACGCCGACCCGATTTTTACAAGTGTGGACTTGCAAAGTTACCAAAACGTTGGTTAAATGTCTATGATAATCATGGAAAATATATTGTTTGATCTACGTTGTTACTTTTTATTTTGTGTTGAAAATAAAATTTTTGAAAAACGGCAATTTTTTATGGGACAACCTAATAATCAGAAAATAACTAACCCCTCAAGCCACTCGATAACACCTCCTGCACTTAGCATTGACTTGGATCGAAGGAGTTCATCGTTGGCATGTTTCTAGAATATTGGCATTTTATCAAGAATTTATAGTATTAAAGAACATACCAATTGATATTCTAGCCTTCCAGTCCTCGCAGCTATTCCCCTCAGCTCTATTTTCGCGTCATTTAGTCGCCCAAGCTTCTTCAGATACTCCATCTCCCAATTGACTCGACCACTAAAAAACGAATATATATATATATATACCTATATATAATATACCATAAATTACATTATTTAAATACCTTTCTTCGTCCGAAACGTCCGAAACGTCCGAAACGTCCGGAAACGTCTTCGTCGTTTTTCTTCCTCTTGGACGACATATTGAAATTGCCTAAAATGATTAGCAATAAGAAAGGCAGCGAACACTAAAGTTAAAGTTACTACACATAAATGAAATAAATGGTAGAAATTTCCGATTTAAGAGCAGTTAAGTCTAAGCTCTATAAAATTCATCAAAGTAAAAGCTAGGGATAAAAATGAGAATTCATTGAATAAGAAGCATTACGCCAAAACAAAAACAAAAGTGTGGTTCGGAGAAAATGATAAGGCTTTGAAAAAGATTTCTTCGAAAAAAGTATCGACTACGCGACTGTACGGGGGCGGTGCTCTTCTATTAGAGTACTTATATATTCTTCTATTAGCGCACACTCAAATAGAAGCGCACCCCAGAGGGGGAGGGAAATCAGAAGCGCATGCGCTTCTATTAGAGTATTTACGGTACTAATTTCTTTGGAACTAATCGCTTCACAATTATAGAACCATTAAAGATAAGTTACCATAAGGTAAGAGGTAGACCTAATAAAATCATTTAAAATTGATTGATTTTGTAGCAAAACCTGGAGCGAAATGATTTCGATATTCTGCTGGCCACGGTCAACATAGTCGTCCAAAAAGATGTTTAGATGGCACCTTTCTTCTCATCTATTCAAAGCTAATCGGAACTCTCATCAAGATGGGGCAAGTCAACATCGACGACATGATGAGCCGCCTTCTCAACATTTGAATCGCCGGAGGACGTTTGACGTTGTTGCTTTTTGCGTGGGTGCTTTTTACTTTCTTTAAAACTTGATCGTTGTTTTGGAATTTTAACGCGGGGTATTTTTCTGGCTTCTTTGCTTGTTCTGGGACGAGTTTTGTTGCTCAACAACAATTCGAAATTGAAGAAACTTTGCAGAAGGCTTCATTTTAATTGTTTTGTTTAGGTTTCAGAGGACAAGCTGAAGTCGCTGTGTTGCCTAGCAAAGAATGTCTTTTTGCATCAACCATCAGTCACCGAAGTTGGCCCACGAATTGTTGTTTGCGAGGATATCCATGGACAGGTATGCTTATTTGAAAGTACTGTGTTTATTGTTGTTGCTTTTTAGTATTCCGACCTCTTGCGCATCTTCGAGAAGACCACTTTTCCACCTGACGCCAATTTCATCTTTTTGGACGACTATGTTGACCGTGGCCAGCAGAATATCGAAATCATTTCGCTCAGGTTTTGCTACAAAATCAATCAATTTTAAATGATTTTATTAGGTCTACCTCTTACCTTATGGTAACTTATCTTTAATGGTTCTATAATTGTGAAGCGATTAGTTCCAAAGAAATTAGTACCGTAAATACTCTAATAGAAGCGCATGCGCTTCTGATTTTTCCCTCCCCCTCTGGGGTGCGCTTCTATTTGAGTGTGCGCTAATAGAAGAATATATAAGTACTCTAATAGAAGAGCACCGCCCCCGTACAGTCGCGTAGTCGATACTTTTTTCGAAGAAATCTTTTTTTTCAAAGCCTTATCATTTTCTCGAACCACACTTTTGTTTTGTTTTGGCGTAATGCTTCTTATTCAATGAATTCTCATTTTTATCCCTAGCTTTTACTTTGATGAATTTTATAGAGCTTAGACTTAACTGCTCTTAAATCGGAAATTTCTACCATTTATTTCATTTATGTGTAGTAACTTTAACTTTAGTGTTCGCTGCCTTTCTTATTGCTAATCATTTTAGGCAATTTCAATATGTCGTCCAAGAGGAAGAAAAACGACGAAGACGTTTCGGACGTTTCGGACGTTTCGGACGAAGAAAGGTATTTAAATAATATAATTTATGGTATATTATGCTATCGTTTTTTAGTGATGCAGGCAAGTGGAAGAAGAAGTGTCTGGAGACGGGTGTGCAGCTTAAAGAGGTGGACAAAGAGCTGGTGGAAGTAGCTGCGAAGAATAGAAGGCTAGAAATGCAATTGGTATGTTCTTCAATACTATAAATTCTGGGGTACTATCCTAGTTGGGGGGCACTTTTTTCTTCAAAAGCACTTTTTCTGCGGTAATTTTATGCGTAGCTTACAAAAACAAGAAGAGTGAAAAGCCATTTGAAGCCGATTTTCTGGGCTCGAAAGTGCGCGCTTGTATATTGTACAGGGTGGCGCATAATTACGGTAACCCAGTATCATCAGGCTGTAGAGCCAGAAAACAAAAATGAACACTTTTTCGATATGACATTCTTATTCTTTGGAACAATAAAGAACTATTTGATTTCAAACTTAGCTCCCTTGGCTTTGACGCATTCACCGAGAAGCTTGGAGAAGGCGCCGACCGTAGCGCCCAAATAGCTAGCTACATCAAGCCCATTCCATGCTTTTTTTAACGCATTCTTCAAAGAATTCAACGTGGAATGTGGTTTTGATCAGGCCTTTGATTCAAGAGCCCTCCTGACAGAAAAATCAAGCGGATTAAGATCCGGTGATAATGGTGGCCATTGATTTAAGTTGATGAAGTCGGGACAGTTGTTCTTGAGCCAAGTTTGCACCAACTTGCTGAAATCTCCACGGCTTGGGCTTGAAGTGTCCTTGAGCCCAGGGAAGAGCTTTGTCTTGAGAATGTCCAAATAGTTTTTTGCATTGGTCGTAATTCCAGCGGGGACAAAGATTAGGGGGGTCTTGCCATCAGCCGTGATACCCGCAAACACCATGAGAGATTGAGGGTACCCACTGCGAGAAACGACTTTATTGGGCTTAGAAATCGAGTAAATCCGATCATTTTGCTTATTGAGAAACTGCTCGACAGTAAAAACCTTCTCGTCGGTGACTGCTCGTCTGAGCAAAATCGGTGTCTTCCACCATTAAACCGTCGCAAAAACGCTTTTCGTCGAACTTTTCTCTTCTTCTTTGCCACGTCTGACAAAAATTGTCCTCCGGATTGCTTGTAGAGCTTCAGCTTTAGATGGTTTTTCATGATTAGGCCCAGCGATCGTCGAGAAATTGTCAGTTGTTTGGCCATTTTGCGAGACGATCGATTGGGGTTTCGTTTCACCCGCTTTCTCACTTTGTCAATGTTGGCTTTTGTGGTCACTGAGACATGACTTCCGCGGCCAGGACGATCCAAATTTGTTCCCAATTCTTTGCATCTCTTGATTGAAGTCGAAACCACCTTCTTTGATACCCCAAACGTTTTGAAATGTTGACGGCGCAAACTCCTTGTCTGTGAAGAGCGATGATCGAGTTTCGATGAGGAGAACTCTTCGCCATTCTAAATTAGAACATAAGTTTTTGAGATAAAAGCTTAAAAATAATCTAAATAACAAAAACAAAAACATAAAAAGTATGAAATACTCAATTGACTATACGGTTCGGTGTCATAAAGTGAACATGAAAAGTTACCGTAATTATGCGCCACCCTGTATTACTTCACTATCTGGAGCCCAAGCTATCGACTATGGGGCATTTTTTCAAGGTCAAAACTAGAGCTAAAACCATTTTTAAGCACTAAATATCCATTTTCTGACTTAAATTGACCGGTAGTAGCAAAACAAATTGAAAAAATTTCTGAGATTTTGACTCATGTGGGGACCACATGGTCAAAATTTGGAAACAAATTTTTTTATTTTGCTCAAATCAGAAACGTAATCTCTAGGTTAAAGTCTCTAGGTATGCCAGAAGAAGTGTTTTTGGCTTCAAAAAATGTTTTGAGAGACCTCCTCCCTATGTCTATCCCTCTCATCACACTGTATGAGCGCGCACTTTGGAGCCCTGAAACTCGACTTAAAACGCATTTGCACAAGCTCTCGTTGTGTTTTTCGGAATCTACGCATAAAACTACCCCAGAAAAAGTCGTTTCAAAAAAAGTGGCCATAGTACTAATTCTTGATAAAATGTCAATATTCTAGAAACATGTCAATGATGAACGCCTTCGATCCCAGTCAGAGCTAAGTGCTAGAGGTGTTATCGAGTGGCTTGAAAGGTTTGTGAACTTTTCTGATTACTTTTTCATCTTTTTCAAATATTATAATCTAAGCCCTACTAAACTCATGCTTCTTTCTAGAGGCTATGAAAGATTTGACATTTGAGTTCTTATAGTATAGCTTTTAAGACCTTAGCAATTGTATTTAGATTCTATAAAATTTAATTTCTTAAATTTTAGAAAACATTATTTCACTCTGATGCCGGATGCTGTCAAACGGGGTACTCAACACGGCCGATGGAAATGGATTTTCGCGAATGATCCCACATTCTCCGTTGAAGTTTGTTCTTACTTTCGTCGGTCCACTGATGAGCGAGTTGCAAAGATAGTTGACGAGATTCTCTCCCATGCTTCCGCCGATAGACAATCATCTGATGCGAGCGATGGACTTGAGATCTCAGGCCGGGGTTATACAACTGAGCAACAGAACGTTCTTAAGGCAATTTGTGCTACCATTCCATGTAACTTTTCTGATTAATAAAATTTTGTTTTGATTTGTCCTAATCCCCCATTAAAAAATCCCATCAAATCATGGGTGTTTTTATAATGAAAATAAATCTGAAAAAGAAGTTAAACAACGAGACGTGGGAAATTGGGGGAATGGGCTCTTCTAGAAATGGTAGAATACTACTAATCACAATAAACGAAACAGATAGTGATTGTTGTATTTATTTAATATGGATCTCGGATCTCATTATGAACCAGCAATAAGAAATGTAAAAAACCTAGAGTAAAAATGAGCGCCTTTTTGTAGTGAAAAAAATGACAACAGGAAGAACAATGGTTGTTTTGCAATGTGGTCAATGCGGTACCTGAAGCCACTAGTTTACTTGCTTCGCCATCTTTCTTGGCTTCCTAAAATGCACAATATACTTTAATTTAGCTTTTACAAAGAAATTCGTGATATTAGGCAGATAAATCTTTGGACACTTTTTTCTGCTAGCATTTATAAATGACAAATTCACCAATTGCCCTACAATTAGCTCTAAATTGAAAATATTTATGATTCATTTTGTTATCTTTTTAAAACAATTTAGGTCCATTTTGAAGCAAGTGGAAAAACTAGTTTTTCGTCAAACTTGATAAAAGGTGAGATCGAGGAATCGGCTAAATAGATTGTTCTGAAATAGATTGGCTATAAACGTAACTTTTTGCACTCTTTCTTTTTTCTATTGACACCCAGATCGGTTTCTTATGACCAAAGTGTCTGAATCGCGTAATTGAGTCGTTGCTCTTTTGACTATCCGAGTTTGCCCCTCGGAACAAATTTCGTAAAATTCTTTTTATTTTGTTAGAACGAGATATTGGGGTTTTTAAAAATACTAATCAACCCGGCTCATCTTTACTTACAGCCCTTGTACGATGGCTTTTATGATCCGCAGCTTCTTTTGCAAGTACCTAATGGTTTTTAAATGAGGGGCCGAAAGACTTATGGGTCAACCTAATAGTTTTGCCTATCACTCAAATAAAAAAAAATCATTAAAAGCTTACTCTTTCCTTTCGACGTGGTCCGAAGTTGCTTCGTGAAGTCGATTTTTGCGTCCCGGCGACACAGTTGCACATCTTATCATCCGCGATTTTGTTTTCCTGTAAAGAAAAACGTCCAATTCGATTCTCTTTCTTCTCTAAAAAATTCTCTTTCTTTTGACACCAAACTCATCGCATAGGTTAAAAATTGAATTTTTCGTGCAACTTTTTCTCCTCACGTGAGTGGGCGAGGCTTAAGGGTTTCTCTAATAGAAGCGCATGCGCTATTAGAATCTATTACCGTATTTATCTGGGTTTCCCATACAAGGCGACGACGCTGAGTTGACAATTCAAGTCTAAATACTCCAGTGCTTTGTTCGTTAAAGTTTCTTAATACCTGTACATAAAGTTTCCTGCTTCTTTTTTGGCTCCAATCAGTTGAACAACGGCACAAAAATTTGCTGCGATTGCTCGAACTTTTCCTGAAACAAGGAGTCTGGAAGTCAAAGTTCAGCCATACCCGCTTCCCGAGTACTAGCATAAAGTGATATCCAAAACAGCTCTAAAAATTTTTAGTTTATTGTTGCAAATCAAAGCTAACCTGCATCATGACCCAATCAACTCCATCCGGTAAATTGATGTCAGTAGTCAAAAAGACAATATCCTCGCCTAAAGAAAACATTATTTACATTTATCACTTAAAACATATCTTGTAAAGTCGTAATACTCTTACGGATTTTCATTAAATGTGGCATCACTTCTTGAAGAGCTCCTTGCCATCTAAAAATTTATCTATTAGTTTAACAAAAACCCAAACAAAATAACCTGCACGACGCACCAGGGCAAGGGCAGCTGTAGGATCTGTAAAGAATAAATTGTTACATAAATTTATGTACTTTATGTATTTATACGCCACCTTTAAAGTAAACACCTACCTGAACTCGCACGTCTCTTCGTGGTCCACTTTATCGTAATGATGAAATATCGATCCACATCCAGAATTGCTGAACTTGCAGGGAAACTTCACCATGTTTGCAATCTTCTCAAGTCTAAGATTTCGGATGCTTGCCAAACTTTTAATTTGTCTTGTACTAAATAAAAACTTTACGTGTAGGGCCGCGGCATGTTGGGCAACACTGTAGCTTCGGTCGACAGTTCCCACAAACAAGATGTCCGCTTTGGCATTGCAAATAGGGTGGAAGCATGTATTCGAGGCAGACCGGACATTCAAAGGCAGATAAAACCTAGGTAAACAGAATAAAATGGTCAATAGATGAAATGATTTACCTCTGCACTACAATCCATAGAATCCGTTGGTCCAATTGCTGTCACAGGTGCGACGCTTTGTGTGGAAGAACCAGTCGTGGGATTGGCAACGGCAACTAAACAGATTCTTTAGATTCTAAAATACTTCTCTCATTACCTTGTCACCTTTTGACAAATTCCGGAGCGATTTGGGCATGTCTAGCGAATAAAAAATATAGAACCGTCCTGGACGAGTTTAGAAAAGAAAATGAAAACGCCAGCTAATGGAAATTTTAGAGTCAAATTCAAAAGATGCTCTTTAATCCTAATGAATTATACAATATTCCATATCAATTTCTCCAGAACCTTTAGGCAAACTTTTACCTTATAATTGATTAATTACCGCTCTTAAAGGTTAAAAATTACCCCGCAAGGGCGCTTCCTTGAACGCGAGCCATGCTGTTTTGTGTCTGCGGAGTAGCGATTCCTTAAAAAATCTACTATATATAAAAGAGAAGTGTCCGTCTGTCACAGGCACCTAACTCGGCGCCCAGAGCGAAATTCGGGATGCACTTTTTTTTGTTAGGATAGGAAATTTTATGCTGATTCCGCCCCTGAAAAGCGGTTCAAATCTTTTTACATTTTTTATCTTATAGCGAAGTAAAATTTTGATAGATTTTCAGCTTTAAACATAAAATAAACAAAAAAAACTTATTTTTCAAGTCTTTTTCGTTTTATTTCCCTTTTCTCAATGAAAGGCACGAAGAGAAAGTGAAATAATCAAAGGTAGGAATAAAGTGAAACGCAGAGAAAGCTAAAGGTGATTTTCTGAAACAACGCAAAAAAAAGCTCTTATGTCACAAAAGAACCGGTCGTTTTCCCTCAAAATGACATAAAAAAGAAATCTTTTCCTTATCCATTTCTTATCATTTTCTTGATTCTAGAACTATGATTTTATTTATTACTGTTGTTTGGATTTCTTTGGCACAAGCATGTCATCCACAGTTTGAAAAGGAGCTACGGTAGACTATCTCAATGATCTGCCTTTAAATGAATATCTTTTTTAATAATCTATTATTTGTTATTACAGTATATATTGAAAAAGAATAACTGATTAAACTAAAGGTTTTCAGTTGAACAAAGCTTTCTAAATATTTCATTGAAGCAACTGGTTCTGTAATCAAAAAAAGTATCAGCTCTTTACTAATTCTAATAAGTATTTTGATATTCAGATATTAGACGAAATTCTTATTTGAAATATGTCTGGGAATGTCGGTTTTCAGTGAGATTTGTGAAAATCTTTACAAGATCGTCTAAGCTTCGGGAAAAATCGAGGATTTAACTTTGTTTCCAATAAAAAAACTCTCGATGGACTCAGATATAAATACCAATTCAGATATCTGGATCTCTACTTGGGTATTCGACCTGAGAATCAAGGGGAAATCCTTAAAAAGACACCACCTGAATTCGCCGAATATGTGAAAGAGGATCGGCAGCTGGATTGCGATTTCCAAGTCTTTATGATTCATTTGCTCATTGGCTTAAAGACGATCTAGACATTTTCGTTCACAGAAATCTATGTTAGAATAGAAAAAAGATAGAGCTCAAGAAGTTTGGTAGATAGCCAAATTTTCAGAACAATCTGTTCAGCCGATTTCTTTTATAGAAGTTTTTCTCGAATTATGCGATAAAACTAGTTTTTGTACTTGAATTTACTTGGAAATTTACCCAAATCGACTTGAAATGAGTGAAAAATGAATACTAAACATCTTTTATTTGGGGAAAATCGTAGATCAATTGTTGAATTAGTCATTCCTAAGCATATCTACAAGAAAAAGTGATCAAGAATTTTTCAAAAAGCTAAAATTTTGTTATACTTTCAATTCTAGAGAGAATGTTTATGGAAAAACGCGGATTCCGACGGTTTATTGGACACATCCGAGTTCTGGTTGTTCAAGAAAAACGATGAGAAAGTTTTCCCGGTTCAAGTGCAACCAGGGAACGCGAATTTGCAAATTGGTATGTAAAATGGAAAGAATATTAGTAAATTTGTATTAAAATATTGATAAATATTGCTAAAACGAAAAATAATGATTCACTTGTTTAGGCACAAGATTCATGATAGCTGGAAACACGACAAAACTCGCGCAATCAGCTGTTCTTCTCAGCGCTCCATTGGCATGTCATCACGGGATGGCAAATATCACTTTCAAGTAAAAAGCTTTTGAAATCTTTATCAAAAGACAGACAGACAGACAGACAGATATACGGTATGTTCAAGTCAAACCAGTTCATTACAGCTATTGGCTGTACAATCTCGGCCGTGTCGAGGTGATGGCGGTGAGACCGGAGCCAAGGAGAGGACATTTGATGGTAAGTAGATGTACTTTGTACTCTAACTTGGAAACGTTTCCTTTCCAACTAAATTTTCGACTTTTCTATCAGAAAGTGAGTGTTCTCGGTTTTGTTCCACCTCAAGATACTATTTACTTATCTAAGGTAACTTTTCATAGACATAGACAGTAAAGTACTTTGTACATATCTTTGTGAAAACATACCCGATCTGGCACACAAAATTAAGAGCAAGGGTTTGTTTTGAGCACAAAGTATTCTTAAGCATAAAGTACCGCTTGAACTTTAAAATTCAACATTTTACTTGTTTTTTTTGGTTGAAAGTTTTAGATTTTAGATGAATAACTATTTTATAGAAATTTTATAACTATTTTATAATTATTTTCTTTAGGTAATCGAACGCGGCAAAGCGGATTGTCATTTCCTGAAGGAGAGCGGTCATGTCTGTTCGGCGTTGATCCCCGCTGTCAAACAGCCGTATCGATTGGCCATTCGGTATAGAAATCATGAAATTATTTACATATAGACAAATTCTACAAGAGAAAGATATCTAAACTAAATCGAAAAAGATATTTAGAGCTTTTAACCTTCGCGACAATACGGTTGGATCAATGGTGCTTATCAACAATATCACCGTCAAAGCTGATTTGTGCAATGAGTCGCGTGAGATTTTGAAGCTTAAAATAGAATTAAGTTAAATTATATAATGTATAAAGAAATTTGAGAAATTTGTCATGAAACTTATGTTCTTGCTTGTCTAACGGGTTACTAACAAGTACTGATCAAAGATAAAACAAATTGTAATGAAAAAAACTTTACCCTGATGAAATCTTTCTATGAAAAGTTTAAAATTATCTTTTAAAATTTGTAAGTTCAGCTTTCCCACTTCTATTCAACTCTGTTCCTTTGAAACCCCGTCCACGAGCTCATCCATCTGCTTTGAAAGATGTTGAGTGTATCGATCCGATTAAGGGATGTCGGTAAAATATTATTTTTCTTTAAATCTTTACAATTTTCCGATGGACAAATGCTTATTCAACGGCTTCTGAGTGGCGAATCGGACAGGACACTGATCGGTGGTATGAATTGACTGAGGTGAGAGTTGGATTTGAAATTTGTTCACTAAAATGATAAACAGATCAAGTACAGTAAACTTTCTGTCGCACTTCGCACTGACATCCAGTGCTCCAGAGCCATTCAACCAAAAAGCTTAGACAATCAAATCTGGCTGTTCAATTTGAAAACCAATAATTCGGATTGAACCCTCGACCTCCCGATTAAGCTACAGGGACAATCAAGCCTTAGCCAATCGGCCATGGCGGAATTAAAATTCTTGAGATTATTTCCTTTATTACCTTGCTATTCAGGCATCAAGATCCACGACGAAACCGACAAAATCTTTCCTTTTCATGGCTGTTGATCCATTGACTCCGAAACCGTATGGAACGCTGAGAAGTCAACTCATTCCTTGTACATCAAAGTTGGCCACTCTTTCATTCAGGTAACAACTAACAACCTATCCAGTTTTGCTATCGCATATCCTAACACTGATGTCTTGCGAAACTGACTACAGTCTACTCTTTTCAATTTACTGATCTTTTTCAGATACTGGCTCCGCGCCGGCACTCAAGTCGAGGTTTGCTCAGTTGATGAGAATGATGTAAGTGCCATTTTCATGTCAGAATTCAGTAATCCTTAAGGTTCCCCTGTCGTGCGCATATTTAAGTGAAGAGGACTCGCCTGGGCCAATCCAAATCGACATCGAACCGTATATGAAACCGTTTAGAGTACGTCATTACTGTAAATCTTGTGCTCAAAATCATTAAATTTTAAAAGTTAAAAAATTGGACCTAAGAAAAGAAAGTCATAACTTGTTTAAATAGAACATTTCAACTCAAAGTTATCTCAATTTTCAGTTCACAATCGATCTGATTGCTTTCGACGCGAATTCGATGGGACTCGTCGTAGTGGATGAGCTGAAATTCATCGGTGGCCAGCTTTGCATCGAACATCCGCCACCAATCCCAACTACAATCGATCCACCAACGGTTGGCTTTACAAGAAAATAGATTCATTTGATTACAAGTACTCTAAATTTATTGCTTTCCCAGGTTGCTCACATGTTCGGCCTTCAACCGAAACCATTATTAGGAGCCAATGAGTATCGCTTATCTTTGGAGTGCGACTTCACAATTGATCATTGCAATCAATGGCTTGGACTTAATAGTAAAAAGTTGAACTAAATGTTTTCAGGGTGAACGATGACGGGAAACTTCAATATGGAGCCGTTCCACAAACTCTCGAAGACTTTCCATTACCTAAACAAATCAACGGTTAGAGCATTTGAATAATGGTAATTACAAAAACTTTTTAGGCAATGTGGCGGTGCTGATGTTGAAAGGCAAAGACGCGTCGTCGATTCGATCTCGAGAAGTCCCATGTGCATACAACTCTCTGATCACCATTCATTATATGAGGTGTGAAAAAGAAGTAAAAGTTTATAGATAGTGAGTGCAATGATGTAAATCTTGCCATAATGCAAAATGCCAGATGTTGCTAGAAAAAAAAGCTGCACCAGGGAGTGAACCTCGATCCTGTAAGCTGGAGTCTAATACTTATCCATTAGGCCATGAAGGTAGTTGTCGACCTAGGAAAAAAGGAATGTTATGAAGGAAGAAGGCTTTTAAAGCATCTGTTTTTTTTTGAAGTCTAGATTAAAATCAGTTCTATCTTCAGAATCGTTAAAGAATCGCAATACCAATATAAAGAAATAAGTCAATAGAGTTGATCATTTAGAAATTTAGAAATTAAATGATTTATTCGAAAATCTCATTCCCAAATTCAGATCTCAATTCGGTTTCCTTCGCGTTTGCGCTCTTGGTCAATGCATGGAGGGGAAAAAGTTGAACGGAACGCTTCAAGTTCAAATCTCTTCAGAGAAGCCTTTTGAGGTGAAATGAGTAACGTTTTTTTTTGCTTTATTATGGATATTTTGTGTCTACTGTAGCCCTAATATCTACTGCAATTCAATCTTTAGATAATCATCGAAGCCTCGTCCAAAAAAAACGCTATCATCGTCATCTCATCTATTGAGGTGAAAAAAAATGAGCTTTTCGAAAAAAGTGACTCATTTATTTCGATCTAAACTTTAGATATCAAAAAAATTAGCATTTAAAAACAATTTCTAAATAAATCTAAAGCAATCTAAACAATTCCAGGTTGAAGGTGACATTTGCCCACTTCGAACTGTCGAACAAATTTTGTGTGATCGAATAAAATGCGATTTTAAGGGTAAATTTAGATAAAAATATTAGCTAAATACCTTTTTAATTAATATTTTTATCTTTTTAATATCTTTTTAAGCTAAATATCTTTTTACGTAAACATTTCTATATTATTAGTCTAATAAAAACAAATTCCTAGAGCACACATGCAATTACGAGTCGACAATGGAGACTGGTGACCGGAATTGCTCATCGGGACGAATGGTTCCTTTTTAATAATTTTATTTTATTATATCTTAATAAATTTAGGTACATTTAAGCTTTTCTTTAAAATCTTGTAATTATTGAAATTTGAATTTAAAATATTACTCGAGAATATTTACAGGCGGTGTCTGCACAATCGCTGGCCATGACGCAAAAACGATGCGTCCTTCGCTCATCATATTTTGATTTACCTGCCCCAGCCACACTCATCATCGATGTCACGCAAGTAAAGCTAGTCATTCTTTAAACAATTTTTAGATATTCAGCTTTAGATAGTATTTCACAGGATTGATTGATATTGTTATGAATTTTGCTTTGAAGTTTAGCAACACAACATAGCTAGATTGCTAGATTGCTAGATTGCTAGATAGCTAGATAGCTAGATAGCTTGATAGCTAGATATCTAGATAGCTTGATATCTAGATAGCTTGATATCTAGATAGCTTGATAGCTAGATATCTAGATAGCTTGATAGCTAGATTGCTAGGTTGCTAGATAGCTTGATAGCTAAAATATTTAGACAATATTCTTAGTATCTAGAAATCTAGAAATCTGGATAATAACGTTTTTATGGATCAATAATAACAAACCATTGATTGAGCCTGGTCAAACAGCCTAATCGGAATCAGTTTCAGGGCTCTTTCTTATCAGTTAAGTGTTAAGTGTACTCAATTCTAGATAAATCTATCTATTTACCATAAAGCTTGCATAGAAATTACATTAATACCAAAATTTGCACCCTTTTCCAGTTCACTTTCGGCTCCCCGGGTGCTCCCTTTGTGCTGATGCGGATACCGACTCGGACAACTGCCACGAATTGTTGGGACCAAGGTTGATTTTAGATTTGGATATAGTACAATATAGTACACCAATAGTACTATATTGTACAATTGTATAGTACCAATTTACAAGCTCAGTCTTGAGTAAAAGAACTTTCAGAGTCTTAACCGCATCACCGCGAAAAGTCGAGTTTCCACTAGACGAGTCGGTTCATCAGTTTTCTCTTGTGTTTTTCCATGATAAGGTGGGTGGAGTCACAAGTTTTTAAATTAGATTTTAATAAATAAATTATAAAATATCTAAAACTACAAAAAAAGCAACTATTTTAAGTACAAATTCTTATCTAACCTTTCAAAATGAGCACCTTTTTGTAAGTGTGGTTCTTTTAACCTTTCACAAGGTATTGTATCTTTCGAAAAACTCGCTAAAGCTCAGTTTTTAGCTTTTCTTCATTATTAGGAAAACAGTAACGACTACGCGACTGTACGTCTAAAATACTTTTAATAAAACTTCTCCAGGCTGATCAATTTGGAGCCGCTCGCTTTGAAATCTCTTCGATCGACATTCGAGCCGGTGATGGATACAAATTTTGTTTTTAAAACTGAAAACTGATTATCTTTATTTTTATTGTTGAAATGATCTGTTTTCGGAGTAGGCTAATTTCCGTATTTTTTTGGGCAACAGGGTCGTCTGCGCAACTGGGTCATTAGCGCAACTCGCCATAACTTTCTTCAAAGTGGATCAATCTTTATGATTTTGGTTTTATTTTGTAGATCTCAAGAAGTGCAACAAAATGACACTAAAATCATAAAGATTGGCTTACTTAGAAAAAAAGTTATGGCGAGTTGCGCAAAAAAAAATTGCGGAAATTAGCCTACCCCCTGTTTTCTGAAAACAAGTGAGCTTTAATAGTTTAAATATTTATTTTCATAAATCTCATTGATTGAAATAATTTCAGAATAGTTGATCAAATCAGAAACAGAAAAAGATCAGAAAATACATACACGTAGTTGATCAAATTCTCTTATAAAACTCTTTTTTTTTATAGTTAAAAAACAAAAAGAAAGACAACCCGTATTTCACCCAAACAAGAAAATTTCTATATAAAAAAGAAAAAGAGATCAAAGAAAAAATCTGCAATTTGCTCAGTTTTCAGAAAAAAATTTTTTGTCAAAGTTGAGCCATAAAAATTTTACGAATTTACGAAACGCAAGAGTTTTGACGAATCGCGGTCAGCACTCGGAATTGACAAAAAGTCGCTTTAAGGCCTTGCTGAATTGGATTTCATCTTTCATTTTGTTTATTTAATCTGTTTCCAGTATTAATGCGTATTCAATCTTTATTTCCATGGCTATAAAATCTATTTTCGAGTCCCTAGCTTGGCTCAAAGGACAGCCCCAACTTCGGCCTAGCTTAATTTGAAAATTTGGCTATAAACGTAACTTTTTGCACTCTTTCTTTTTTTCTATTGACACCCAGATCGGTTTCTTATGACCAAAGTGTCTAAATCGCGTAATTGAGTCGTTGCTCTTTTTGACTATCCGAGTTTGCACCTCGGAACAAATTTCGTAAAATTCTTTTTATTTCGTTAAAACGAGATATTGGGGTTTCTAAAAATACTAATCAACCCGGCTCATCTTTACAGCCCTTGTACGATGGTTTTTATGATCCGCAGCTTCTTTTGCAAGTACCTAATGGCTTTTTAAATGAAGGGTCGAAAGACTTATGGGTCAACCTAATAGTTTTTCGGATTTCATCTTTCATTTTGTTTATTTAATCTCTTTAAATACGCATTAATACTATAATCTTTATTCCTATGGCTATAAAATCTATTTTCGAGTCCCTAGCTTGGCTCAAATGACAGCCCCAACATCGGCCTAGCTTACAAGCATTTCTAGCCTCCACCTAACTCATAGACCAGTTCTGGTTTGGTTCTGGTACTAATCTAGATCTATAAGTCGGTCAACTCATACTTACTTTTGCAATTTAATGGTCAGCAAAACTTAGAATTGACCTTTCGGCTGTAAAATCTTGTAAACTTTAGATATGAAATTGCCAGATTAGAGGAAAAAGATCAACATACCCGAACATCCTCATGATTGTAGACAAATACGAAGAATGTGCGACTGAATGCACAAAAACCAACAAATTTGCGATATCACAAGCCACATGTGATTTTGTTAAGTGAACGTAACTGAAAAATCAATAACGACCAATAACTACTAATAATTTTGCCAGTGAATAGCCATTTACCGAATAATAACGATGACGATGATTGGAGTGATCAATAAGAGAGTTGTTGCCACAAAATGAAACTGAAAGCTTTTGATTCAAAATTTCAAAGAATTTTATTCACATCGACTTTCGGCTAATTTTGATGCTAAAAACCTACGACAACTGGTCGAAAAAAGGCTGAGTTGAGTTGCTTTTTTGAGAAGCACGCCAAGTGCAATCGCGCACGCCAACGCCAAGATCAATGTCATGTCGTAAGCGGTGAGAATTGCTAAGTTTTTTTAGATCATTGTATAGAACACATTTCAGCCTTTCGAATGACACCAAATACACTTTGATTGCATTTTTGCATTTCCATGAAAACCGTTGAAAACCATGACAGTTGGATCGATCTTGTTTGCTTAGCGTTGGCTTTGATTTTCCTTGACTGGATTATCCAATCAAGCTGTATTTGGTGTCATTCGAAAGCTTGAAATGCCTTCTATACAATGATATAAAAGTTAGAAATAATATTGTCTCTAGATAAAGTTATAGGGGTTTAAAGCGTGACGGCTCTTTTCTATTAACACCTGTATTCGACGATTCCACGCATTCTCCCTCTGTATCCAAATCGATGATGACAAGACAAGCCATAATGATCACAGAGAAAAAGGGCACCGATCAAAATGGCAATATTCTCGAATGATGTGTGTTACGAAAGATTAGGTTTTTGAGAGGGAACACTTTCAGCTTTACTTTAAGACTGGCTTTACTTTTAAGCTTTACTTTAAGCTTTACAACCTGCAAATCAACGAAGATTGATGAAAATAGATTGGTGAAAACGCGGCCAATGACCAATCGATCACTTCGCACATTAACAAGAGACACTAGAAATATTGGAAATGAAATATTGGAGATAGAAATATTGGAAATGATGAACAAGTTATTGGAAAAGTTGAGAAAATCATCAGCATTCTATGCCAAATCGAGATCGATTAAGTTTTAGGATTCTCAAAGATGCCTAAGGTATTGCTTATGCTAGAAAATAAGGTAGGCTTTTCTTTTGAATAGCTTTTCTTTTACCTGTACAAGAGGCACACTCGCCGAGATCACTTGTACAATGCCACATTGGTGTTGTCTGCCTGAAATTGCCTTATTGTTATTGTTTGTTGTTTATTGTTAAAACCAAATCTACAAGTACCTTTCGAATTGTTTTCTAAAAGGCACCTTTTTAGAAAACTATTGTAAATGCTTACCGATTTATCGAGAAACGCCATCGCCAACAGGCAAGAGGCGGTCACGAGATCGATCAGAAATTTGACTAAAATTAAATGCTTGTTTTTTGTTATGAATGCTACTCAAAAGTAAATCGTTTTCTAAAACTTATCAACTTTCATAAACTACAAGCCTTGTCTTATAAGCCATAGCTTTTAAAAATCGTTGCCTTATCTCTAGTTCTCCGATCTTTCTATTTCGATTGACTGTGTAAGGCTTTAAAAAGGACATTGAAAGAGACAAGTAATATCTAGAGCTACGACAAGATTACAGCAGTTTCCCTAGACTCATCTTTATGACAAGATTACCGTCGCTTCCCTAAAATTCTCACGTTTTAGAAAACATCTTATTCCAATAGATAGCCATGACCGTCTCTTGAAAATTCTTTATTTTTTAAATCCACTACCGTAAGCCGAGATTTTCCCATTTTCAAGAGCTTAAAATTAGGTGTTAACAAAAATGGGTTGGCTTATGATGTCCATTAAGATTATCTATCACTTAAAACGATTTCAAAAATCTAGAAAAAATCTTAGAAACTCGGGATGAAAGTTGGCAGATCTGAGAAAATGATAATTTTTGCCAAGGAGGTGACCGTCTATTGAAACGATAGTTAATTGGAATTGGAAGAATTGGAAGGGTTGGCCGTTTATTGGAAGAATTACGATGAGTTAGCTTTCTTTTTATGTATCCTTTTTCCCAAAAACAAACCAGCGAAAACGGAGTACTTCTCGCGTAATCTAATCTGGACGATCATGGCGATGAGGAGAGCGCCGGAGACAAAATAGAGAATGATCGAAGAGAAGATATACAAATAGAAGAAGGCATAGATACCGGTGGTCATCGGACATCCACCTGGAATCGAAAACGAATCAGAAGATAGAGAAATGTATGGTTGAAGGAAAGAATCGAGTACAGGAGCGTTGAGAGGAGGAGAGGATTGAGAATTGAGAGGAGCGTTTAAAGTTTTTAGCACAGAGAATTTGATTGTGCCTTCCTTTTCCCAATGATATTATTATTTTGAAATTCTCAAAACAAAAAATTAGACAGCTTTTTAGATGATCAATCAATCAAAATCAATCAAAATATCAATTTTTTTATTAATAGCAAAATTACATGAGCCACGACAAAATTACAGCCACCAAATGCAAAAAAACTCGATTACTGACAAACTGATAACAATTTTGATTGATTGAAAAGTTGAATGCAATGAATGGAATTGAATTTAAGGGGGAAAATACATATCTCTAAAGTAAAGAATGTTAGAAATTGGTTGAATTTTTAAATTCTACGTTTACTATGTTAAAAAAGCTCTCGATTGACCTTTCAATTTCAAGCTTACCGTTGGATTGACCTAAAATCTTGGTTTTTACCTGAAATTTATGGAAATTAAGTAAAAATCATTGACTTAACTTGAAGTTTTGCCTAGAAATTTCTCGAGTTTTCCAAGTTTGGCCTGGTTTCTAGCCTGGTTCTGCACCGGGCTTGCTCATAAAAATCTTGCTTTGAACAGAATCCAGCCTTGAGCCTGGCCTTTCTTCCCTGGCTTTACCTATACTGCCCCTAGAAATTGAAAGCTTAGATCTGATCTTGAACAGGGTTGTTTTAAAGTTTTGCCAATGACAATGACTTTAAAACAACCCTGTTCAAGATCAGCTTTCAATACAATATTTCTATGTAAAGAACAGTAAAGAACAGCAAACAGCTAAGCTTTCAATACAATATTTCTATGTAAAGAAAAAAGACAACGAAAAATTTTATCGCTTTTCCAATAATCAAAAAAAACGTGAGGGAAAAAGAATCAGACACGAATCGGGAATAAAATCGATAGTAAACAGTGTTTTCTTTGCTTTGACCGCTCTTTTTTACTTCTCTGATTGAAAAGAGGGATAGTTCGGAAGAGAAAAGGTTTTGGCTCTTTTAGATTCGGAAAAGTCATGGGTTCTTGAGGAGATCAATGATCATTTTCTGTGAAAAGCAATATTAGCTAAGATTAAGAAATTAAGAATAGATAACCTCAAGGATGTTTAAAGCAAAATCCGGGGTAGAAATAGGTACAGATTATATTTTGTGACTAATTTCAGCAAAGGCTTGGTCTAAGCTTGGGATTAGCTAGCATTTTGTAGTCACAGTTTATAAAGATTACTTCTGCTAGCTACATCGTTTATACTCTTAAAGTTTTAAAAATTTTGAAACCCAATCCTTTTAGTTTAAATGAAAGATCAGTTCAGATTTGAGCTATGGACCGGTTTCTTAGAGTTAGAACATTTAGAAAAGCAGACTGCGTCATCGATCAGTTAGAAAACCTGTTTGTTGAGACTTAGAAGTCCAAAATGTCATAGAAAACAGTAAAAAAAGCTTTGATTAAATAAAGAATGATAGAAGTGGGATAGATTCTTAAGAAAATCAGTATCAATCTTGATAAACTAGTTATTGAAGTTACTTGAAGAAAAGTTACTTTTTCTTTCAAATACAAAAACAGAGCAAAACCAGGATTGTTCTTAAAAGACAAAACAAAGAAAATTAAGAAAATTAAGAAAAGTTGAGATTAAAAGAGACTTGTTTATCAAAAGTCTCTTTTATCAAAAGTATCTTTATCAAAAGTAGACTTGTTTATCAAAAGTCTCTAGTTTTATTCAAATTTTACGACTTCAACCAAATTTAAGCAGAGATCGTGCTTTTTAAAAATTGTTATTGATTTGTCAAGTCTAGATCAGAGATCAAGATAATCAGAAAAGGTTTCAGTTTTTAAAAATGAAAGGAAAAATCAATTACCGGTAAAAACATAGAGAAAATCAGGATCAAAGTCGGGATATGGAGTGCCTACCCCCTCTAGACAAATGTCTAGGGGAGGATAAAGAAGTCGAGTTTGACGACCCTTCTCTTCTGCCCCATATCTCAACTTCCAATTGACCGATCAATTTTGGCGGTTAGTCTTAAAGGTTTCTTATGAAGTTCAGGTTATAGAAAACCACAACTGGTATAGTATACTTTAATATAAAAACATAAGAAAACTTTACTCAAAGTTGGACTACTTACCTGAAAGGATGGATCCCTTTAAAAGGTCTATAACTCAAAATGTAAAAGCTGAATCGACTCCTGATGGCTTTCATTAGAATCTACGTCGGTTGTCGTGACGACCTCGTGATCGAGATCGCCACGTATGGAAATGGCCAGCTAGGGACGTGGACGAACGCCTATTGTGCGAGATTTAATATGCGTCGCTATCCGTTCAACTCCATTGTGTGCAAGACGAGACCAACGCCTGAGTTCCGTATAAAAGCAATGTGAACGAGCTGCCAAAGGAACTGTGCCGTGGAGTGCCTCTACTCTCCCAATCTCAAACCACTTGAGCGAACTATTATCGCTGTAATAGGGATATATCTAAACCAACAATGGAGTTGAGTTATCTATATTTTAAATCTACAATGGTTATCTATATTTTAAAAGTCGAAAGTTTTAAAGTTGAATTGAAGAATCCAAATTTGAATCGATCAAAAGAAAACAAACTCGTTCAACTAAAAAGCTGTCCTTGAACATAACCTGTTTGTCCACACACTAAATTTAATTGGAAGAATTTTGTAAAACTTTTTAAAGAAAGAGTCAAAAGATTAAAAAGAGGAAGTGATTTTGAGAAGAAATACAAAAATTTGACAAAATGTGGGTGTAGAGTGAAGCAAAGAATTCTTTCATTCTCTTCTTTTCCCGAGAAAAAACTTGTTCAAATAGATAAAAAGAAAAGATGAAATGACTGCGAAAAGCCGTCAATCTTTGAACCGACCAGACCGACCGATCCTGAATTATAATAGAAGCTTTCCTGGGTATAATTTTTAATTCTTAAAAACCTGTATCATTTTTCAGTATCATTTAAAATCTTTAAAGTTCCCAGTTTTTGCATTTACTTTAGAATAGAAAACTAGTTTTAAAGCAAGGAGAGAAGAAAATGACTTCTAGAAAAAAGTTAGTAAGAGTAACTATGAAAAACAGAGTAACTGTAAGTAAGAGTAACTAGTAAGAGTAACTGTAAGTAAGAGTAACTGTAAGTGAGAGTAACTGTAAGTAAGAGTAACTGTAAGTAAGCGTAACTGTAAGTAGGAGTAACTGTAAGTAAGAGTAACTGTAAGTAAGAGTAAATGTAAGTAAGAGTAACTGTAAGTAAGAGTAACTAGTAAGAGTAACTGGTCAACTTTTTGAGGACTAACTTCTTAGCCAATAGAATAGATTTTATTTAAAAGCTAGTCAGTGAAATTCCTAGATTCTCATCCTAGACTTAAACTTGAACTTGAAAATTTTGTTCTTTTGAGGTACAGCAAGTTCTGTATGGAATGAGAACGAGTAAAAACGAAATTTCTCTTTGAACGATCTCCTCTGTCATCACCGATTTCCCTCAACTAGATAAAAATCTGTGTTTTGAGCCATTTTTCAAATGATTTATAGCAAGTTTTTGAGTAGATTAAGCAGCATTCAATAAAGGGAGATACAAAAGAGTTAGAAAAAGTATGAGGCTTGCTGTTGATTCCAGTGTCTTCAATATTTATGTGAACTTGAACGTTGTTTTTGCGCTTGAGCGCTTTCAAAATCGATTTATAAAAGTAAAAAAATCATTAAGGAAGCACTGAAATAAACATAAAATGTTCACTTAGTTTTACTTTTTATTTATTTGTTACCGTATTCTCTTTAATAGTAGTGCACCGCGACGAGTCGAGTTGATGACTATTTTACGGTTTCCAAGCTTTTGCAGAAGCTCAACACTCGAATCCCCCACTAGATCTCATCGTCAGCTACATTTTCCGCCCCACATCGATAGGTTCTGATAAGCAGTTCTCGAGATTCCGATCAATTTAGACAAAGCTCAGGGTGCACTACTATTAGAGAAAATACGGTATGCGAAAAACCGATTGATTGGAACTCGATCGTTAACACGTTGACGACAATGGCGTTTTTGCACAAACAATCGCATGGGACAACGTTGTTTTTTTTCGACAAAAAATGTCACCTGACATCAGGTGACAATGTCCCAGGCGAACGAATGTGTGTCAGACAGCATCAGGTGACAATGTCGTCAACGTGTTAAATTCTCTGAATGAATCAAACCTAGTTATTCTTGTTTAATGACAAGAAATTCTTCCCCATTTATCAGTTTTTAAATTTATGAGACATTAAAAAGTTTGGAATTATATTTCCGTTTTAATTCTTTCAAGAAAATTTAACAAGATTTTGTGACAAATCTCAATTTATTCGACTTCTGTGCCACAGTGAGCGCTTTCCACACAAGTTTCTAGACAAACATTAACACGAAAGGCTAGAATTCTAAAAAAAGTGACTTAAACTTGTTAAAGTATATGTGTTTGATATGTTTGTTTCTTTTTAGCATTAGATTTGTACAAAACGAGCTTAAAACCTAGTGATCTATTGGTTTTTATTGAGCATCTTGTGCTTGATATTTTCCATAAAGCACCTTTGAGCACCTTGTGATTAAAAGCAACTACCGTAAATACTGTGATAGTGCCCCACCCCCATAATGACGGTGCGGAGTGATGCGTAGTCTAGCTTTGAACGAGTTTTTCTCGACACTGGTTTATGCTACAATGCGCGCTTAGGTATCAAAAAATAGCTGAAATTCAGGGCTATTTTTTGATACCAAAGACGCATTTTTTGAAAGTACGGGCGCTTTGAAAAAAATGAAATACGAAAAAACTTTTGCGACTACGCGACTGTACGAGGGGGGTGGGGTATTATTACAGTATTTACGGTAGGTGTACAAGTCTAATCTAGAGCTTTTGATTTTGTAATAGATATAATAACAAAAAGATTACTTTTTTAAAAAAATCGAAAAAGTTAAGC